TTGTCTTCTTTCTGGGCTCCTGGGTCGGATGGGTGGGCCGCGGCCAAGAAGCTGGGCTCCCATTGGGTTTCATATTTCCTTTCCGGGCTCCTGGGTCGGATGGGTGGGCTGCGGCCAAGAAGCTGGACACTCGTATTGGGTTCCCTTCATCCTTTTCGGGCTGCTGGGCGTATGGATGGGCAGGACTGGGCTCCCTTCATATTTCCTTTCCCCAAACAAGTACGGTTTGGGGTTCTCTCCTCAGAAAAAAGGTGGGCCGGGGTGGGTTGGATGGGTAGGTCGCAGCAAACTGATTGGGCTCCCATTGGGCTCCCTTCATATTTCCTTTCTGGGTTCCTGGATTGGACGGCTGCGCCGCGGCAAAGGGAAAGGGCCTGGGCTCCCATTGGGCTTCCTTCATATTTCCTTTCTGGGATCCTGGGTTGGACGGCCGCGGCAAAGGGCCTGGGCTCCCATCGGGTTCCCTTCATGTCTCCTTTTTGGACGTCTGGGTTGGATGGATGGGCCACAAAGAGGGCTGGATTCAAAGCATAAGTGGGCTTGCAACAGTCAACCGATCCGTGAACCAACCTCTCTTCTGTTTCTTCCACAAACGTCTGCAACAGAGGCCAGGTATCCTGTCTTGCAAGGCAGCAATGTCGTAATAGTTGTGGGAGAGTTATTTTTGTTTTTTTGGCTGTCGTGCGTGGTTTTTCTGTCAGCCAGATCCTATGGACGAGATTCTTCGTTCGGTCTGTGGAAAAACTCGTCAATTGTTCCGTGTAAAGGAAAGATTTTTCTTCGGTTTGTAAGTAGACAAACCCCTTCGGCATTCCTTTTGCTAAGTTTGCGCCAAGTTCCACTTTTTCCCGTGCGACAGCCAACCGACTCGTATACCAAACTCTTTTGTGCTTCTTCCACAAACGTCTACAGCAGAGGCCAGGTATCCTGTTTTGCAAAACGGAAATGTTGTGAAAATTGCGGAAGAGCTGTGTGTTTTTCCGTGCGTGGTTTCTGCGGCAGCAAGATCCTGTGGGCGACACTCTTCGTTCGGTCGACGGAAGAAATCGTCAATGGTTCCGTGTAAAGAACCGACAAGCCCCTTTGCGCTTCTTTTTGCCAAGTTTGCACGGCAAAGTTCCCACTTTTCCCTGTGCGACAGCCAAGCCATCCCTATACTAAACTCTGTTGTGTTTCTTCCACAAATGTCTACAGCAGAGACAAGGTATCCTGTCTTGCAAGGCAGCAATGTTGTAACAGTTGCGGGAAAGTTGTGTGTTTTTCCGTGTGGTTTCTGCGGCAGCAAAATCCTGTGCACGACGCTCTTCGTTCGGTTTGCAGAAAAAGACGTGAACGGTTCCGTGCCAAGAGAGATTTTTATTTGCCTTGTAATGTAAGCCGCCAAATCCCTTTCTACATCTCTTGCCAAACATGCACGGCAAAGTTCCGTTCTTTTCCTGCGCGATAGCCAACCGAAGCGACTACCAAGCTCTTTTGCACTTCTTCCTTTCTCGCTTTTGTTCCGTGTGTGGTTTCTGCGGCAGCAAGATCCTGTGGACGACGCTCTTATATAATTGGTCAGCGGAAAAAATCGTGAACGGTTCCGTGTAAAGAGAGCTTCTTGTTTGCCTCGTAAGCCGAGAAACCCCTTCCTGCCCCTTTTACCAAACATGCACGGCCCTTCTTTCAGTGCGACAGCCAATCGAAGCGAATACCAAGCTCTTTTGCACTTCGTCCACAAACGTATGCAGCAGTTGCGGCGGAAATGTGCATTTTCAGTACGGGGTTGCTGTTGCAGCAAGATCCTATGGACGATGCTCCCGGGACCCTCCCAAACCTTCCCCACATGCTTGAGTCCCACCACCCATTCTTCTTTCGCAAAAATGCATTGCCTAATGCCTAAACATCTTTTTCGCAGCATCTGCTGGCGAAGCCAGATTGGGATCCAACACATTCCAACTTGAATCGGTATGATTCGATGCATTCTGTTTGGGGTCTTCGCTGGTGTAATTGGAAGATTTGTGCAAGGGTTGAAGGCTGACCAAGAGTTGAGCCCCTAGTCTCAAGACCGGGGCGTTAACAGTTGCGTGGCGAATTCGACAATCCACCTCTTCTGGGGTCTTGTTGAGGCATTTTATTTGAGATGTCGCAACAAGTTCCGCAGTTGGCAGCATTCGTCTGACGGCTTGCCGATGTTGCAAGGACCTTCGGACGCCCAGCGCGCCGGTGCATGAACGGGGGAGACGGAGGGGGACTTCAGTTCAGGTTGAGGTAATGCTCTGGAGTGGTACTGCCAGTAGTAGTCGTCGTCGCAGTAGGTGGCAGCAAGAGGAGGATGCTAGGACGGCCCAAGGTTTCCTCTACCAATATTCCTGGATAGGAGCCCCAAAAGCACCTAGATATGAATTGTTCTGGAAACCATATCCCACAAACCCTACACCCTGAGCCCCAAACCCCTAAACTCCTGAACTCCTACCTCGAAGACGAACCCAATTTCCAAGGGTTCAGGATCGGCCGTCGGGGTTGTTTTGGTGCTTTAGGAACTTTAGGTTTCAGGACTGAGGGTTCAGGGTTTAAAGCCTAGGGTTGAGGGTTTAGGGTTTCGTGTGTTTGTGTCATTCTGCTGTACATGCGACAAACTTTGCTCCACATGTTTTTTGTGCATGATGTTTTCAGCGAGAATTGTTATATCTGCAGGGGGCCCAAGGGCTGCTGGATGGCTTGGGCCAACGAAGACCCATCCAGTATGCCGTGCAAACGTACCTGTTAAAGTAACTGCACGGCCTGGGTGTCTGCGTGCACAGCTGGTGTGCAACTAGTTTCGCTTGTGTCTAAACCAGGTTTTCCAGCTTCAGGTCAACATGTTGTCTTACTTTTGCACATGAGAGCATATGCACTGGACGATCATGCAACTAATTAGCGACTTCATGTCGCCCTCAACAACAAGAAGGCGGGTCAGAGGAAGCCTCTCCAGTTGTGTTCGACAAGAGCTCCCTCATGAGGGCCTTGTCGCTATTCGGCGAAGTTGCCGGCCCACCGGGGTTCTTGTGTTAGCAGCTCGGGAGATCATTTCCGTTTCACAACATGTTCAAGTGGAGATCACTGAGCGGAAATCACACTTCCGGAAATCAGAGTGGAGTGGCGTCCGGAGATCACTGACGACTGCATGTGTTTTCATGTTTAGGCATTTTCTGGCTTGAGACTCGCGTTCAAGTGTTGTTTCAGCAGACCAGATACATGCAGATCAGCTCTTGCTTGGCTTGTATTCCGGAGTGCAGTCTCGAGGAAGGCTGCAATTTACAAAGAACACATTCCGATTCCCTGGACTTACAAAAATGATCGATTGCGTGATGAGGATATTTATTTGTTTATTTATTTATTTATTTGGATGGACTTGCAGCTTACAGCAGGGTTCGGCTATGGCTAAGGCAGACGTTGATGCGTGAAGTGGATATTTATTTATTTATTTGGATGGACTTGCATGAGACGCAACATTGATTGGGATGAACGATGGCCGAAGTTGTATTCTGCCACGAATGAGAACCCTAAACCCTAATTCATTCCACTTTGTTTGCTTCTGTTGTTGAGACTCAGTCCCTTGTTGGAGCCTTGGGGCCTGTGTAGGTGGTTGTGTTGCTTTGATGTTGTTGAGCCTCAGTCCCGTGTTGAGCCTCCAGGCCGTTGTGTACTGTTTTGAGGACTTGCCCCAGTTGGGGCTTGTTTGTGTCATTCTGCTGTACATGCGACAAACTTTGCTCCACATGTTTTTTGTGCATGATGTTTTCAGCGAGAATTGTTATATCTGCAGGGGGCCCAAGGGCTGCTGGATGGCTTGGGCCAACGAAGACCCATCCAGTATGCCGTGCAAACGTACCTGTTAAAGTAACTGCACGGCCTGGGTGTCTGCGTGCACAGCTGGTGTGCAACTAGTTTCGCTTGTGTCTAAACCAGGTTTTCCAGCTTCAGGTCAACATGTTGTCTTACTTTTGCACATGAGAGCATATGCACTGGACGATCATGCAACTAATTAGCGACTTCATGTCGCCCTCAACAACAAGAAGGCGGGTCAGAGGAAGCCTCTCCAGTTGTGTGAGTGTGTGTGTGTGTGTGTGATTTCCAAGGGTTTTTTTGGGTGTTATAGGGTCTAGTGCCTAGTGCGCTCTCGCCGACCCAGGCTACGGTCGAAGTGAGATCCGGGCAGGCCTCATGTTACCATTGTTGAACGCCCCATGAAACCTTACACTAGTGATGTAGGCTCTTACATTAAGCCAGGTATTATATAGTATCATTATCATGATGATGATGATAGTTATCATTGCTAGCATTGATCAGAAGCATTGTTATGCACGCCAAGTAGACTAGTTTTGTTGGCATCGGTCGGCGGTGGTGGTGGTGGTGGTGGTGGTGGTGGGGTGCTGGTGGTGGTCGTCCTCATGGCCATTGCAAGTTCGTGGCAACCTGTTGCAGGAGGTGTCAGGGGCCTTTTCGCCGTTCTGAGGCTCCAGCTATAACGCGTTCTGCAGTGTGCCTGCAGCGGCTAGTGGACTTCAAGGTTCAGGGCAAGCTTCAGATAATAATGACAACAATAACAATAACAAGAATAATAGTACTCATGGTTATAGTGAAAAAAATACTGACAATAGCATAGTCGCATGCAGATGCTCCACAGGCTGTGCAAGATCGGCCATGGCTTCTGGGTATCTCCTGGAAGCCCTGAACCCCTGAACCCGCAATCCCTAAGCCTAGACCGCTCGCCGTAAACCCTCAACCCGAAACCCGACACCCCTTACTCTCTAAACCCTCAATGATCAACCTCTGAGAACCCTTTAAGCCCTGCAAGCAAAGATGCAACAAGCAGTTCAAACCCTCATAGACCTTTCCAAAAGAACACGATTCGAACTATTCCTAGTCGTAAAGTAGGTAACCTTTAACCTGTTTAGGGTACTATATTCCATATTAAGGCCCCGATCTTGCAATTTAAAGCAGCGATGCTGACTGCAGAAGCCTGTGGCCCGGGTTGCATGCCTCGAGCCTTCCTGCTCTTAGCGGCCAAAACCTCGAGTTGCGCGGAGGTACCTGAGCCCTTGTTGAGGATGTGAAGTTAGGCTACCAGTGTGGGTTAAGACATAGTACATATATTCAACATATAGAGACATAGATATGATATGTATAAATCATAGAGTGCTGGTTACTACACTTGAGCCGCCATAGTATGAAAAGAGTTCATGGGATTTCGGGTTTAAGGGTTTACGTTTTCACCCTCAAACCTTCAACCCCATGATTCCATGTATGTGTATGTAATACGTATATGTATATGATTATATATATATATATGTTTACAGGTGTATCGTTGTATCCTCAGCCAGGTCCTTAGAAGCAAGAGCCCAGGTAAACCTCGAGAGCCTCACCGAGGGCCGCTTTGACCTCATCTGCCGGGTGATCAGCTCGGTACTCTTTACCTCCCATGGTATCCGCAGGAGCTCCCCCGTAGAACCTTGACCCTGAACCTAGCAAGCCCTAAAAGGCTTTTAAGGGCGTTTTCAGCCCTAAACCCTCGACGATAGACACACTAAACATTATACACCCTCGAATTGATAAACCTTAGAAGCCTTAGAACTTACGGACCCTAGGCGTTATACTAAGTAGGAAGCCGAAGACACCGGAAGCGTTCTAAAGCGCAAGTCTTGTAAACCCGAAGCCTTAAATGTTATTAAAAGTCTTAAGTGTATTACAAGCCAGAAACCTTCTAAACGGTAAGTCCCACCCAGAGAGCCCAATACCCCTTAATTAAGGAATATAGCTTAAATCATAATATAAACCCCCTTATGATTTAAGCTATATTCCTTAATTAAGGGGTATTGGGCTCTCTGGGCACAAACCCGCAACTTCAGAAGCCCTTCGAGGAACTCGACTTGCTTTGTCCACTTGGGCGGGTCACTGCCGCACCGGACCTTGGCCGTGCATGGCCCTGAGGTAATTTGGCCGCACTACTTAAAGGATCATGGGATTTAATAACTAGGTAGGGCAACTATACTTATAACCACTTATAACCCCAATTAAGGTACTTATAAGCTTACTTACTAAGCCCTATGATCCTCCAAGTACAGCAAACTGCAGCTCTGGAATCCTGGAGTCTCGATCAAGACTACCCAGAGAGCCCAATACCCCTCCAAAAAAAGGAGTATAGCTCAAGTCATAATATGAAGCCCCTTATAGTTTATGGTATATTCCTTAATTAAGGGGTATTGGGCTCTCTGGGTACATGCCCAAGAAAGCGGGCGCCGAGGTGAAACACTGGCGGCCAGATGAACGGGGGGGTGCCTGCCTGCTGCGACGATTGCTCAAACTCGGAGGGAAGCCACGGGGGACAGAGGAAGAGAGCTCCAGGGAGGACAAGGGCAGAGTGGGCATTTCGGGTTTGAGGGTTCAGGGTTAAGGGTTTAGGGGGTTCAGGTGTAACTTTCAGCAGGGTTTGCACAGTAGACTCCGTTATGTTTGCACGGCTCTTGTGCCTTTAGCTTTTAAGTATACCTGGGTTGATAGGCTAGTATTCGTCACCACCTTGGCACATACATGAACGGTACAATGCGCGAGCACAAGACCAACGACAGATATCGACTGCGACCCGCACGCATAATTTATGTGAGTGTGTGCGTACATGTGTGTATATGCAGATGTGAATATGTGTAGATGTGTATATGTGTAGATGTGTATATATATATATATACACATACACATATGCATAGTGTGTATATATATATATACACACCAAGTTTGTGTACACTTGTACACGGCCCCTGAAACTTCCTTGCATGACTGGCAGTGCCGCGATATGTCAAGCTTTAGGAGGGACTTCCAGTTGCCGGGCGCGCAGGAGAAGTGCCTGCGCGGCATGAGCCTGGTGGATGAGAACCTGTACTCCACAGTTTGTGCGGCTCTGAGATATCTGCGAGTGGACGATGCCAAGCCCTGCACTCTGATCTTGCACCCGGATGGCCGGCCGATGCACGAAGTGGTCGAAGCCTCTACTGCGCCTTTGCTTGTGCTGGGGGATGATGCTTGGCTGGTGTTAAGGAGTTTAGTTAAGTTTAGTTCAAATTACCATATTGAGGAAACTTATTATTTGCTTTAGATCTCTATTATGGTAACTTAAACCCTAAACCCTTAAAGGAACCCTTATAGATCCCTTAAAGAAGCCCTTAAGAACCCAGGATGCTGGCATGGGAGAAGATGCTCTTGGAGAGGTCGAGAGAGCGGCCCAGGAGTGCGAGGTTCCTGTGTGCCGAGTGTCGCTTGGACCCGTTCCACTCTTAGGAAGCCATGCCTGCGTTCCTGGGCTCTTGTTAAGGAGTTTAGTTTTGAGTTGCCATAATAGGGATCTATAGTAAATGATATGGTTTCCTTATGATGGTAATGTAATGTAAGTTCCTTAACAAGAACCCAGGTTCTCGCTCATTACTTCATGGACGTGCTGCACTCGTGCCCCAAGTCTGGCCGTATGCGTGCCGAACTTCGCAACAAGTTCCTGGTCTCAGCAGAAGCGAAAAACCCGAGTGATTTTGGATGCAGTGCCGGTAACCGCGGTCATCTAGGGCCGGTAACCCTGTCCCCTGATGTTGCGATGTATGTTCAATGTGGAGTACTCCGAACCTCATTACTTCAGTCTATGCGAACCCGAGACCGTAATCCAACACGCGATACAGCGAATAAAAGCCGTTCCATAACTGACTAACAGCAACATGAAGATCGCGTGTGCGCAACTCCTAAGTTTGTCGCAAACCCTAGACCCTAAACCCCGAAACCCTAAGTTTGTCGCACTCTGCTACTCATGGGCGCAGCTTCTGGAGCTCTGCTGTACTTTAGTCCCAGACTCCTCTCGAGCAGTGGCGTGCATGCAACTCTGAGTAGTGGGATACTTTGGCACATCACCCCAAAGCCTAAACCCTAAACCCTAAACTAAACCCTAAATCCTAAACCCTAAACCCTAAACCCTAAACCCCAAACCCCAAACCCTAAACCCGACTTGTTCCTTCAGGCCCGAAATCCTGAGTCAGCAGCTAAAACGCTTGTAAAGGGGACGCCGCCAAGTCGTCAAGACCAAGCCAGATGGAGTGGCAAGAACGCATCCCTTTGTCCTGTTCTTAGTAGGGATTGGGGGAATTGATCCCTATGATAGTCCCTTAAGGGTCCCTTATAGTAGTCCCTGTAACCCATTCCCTCATTCCCGACCTAAGAGCCAGGCATCCCTGCAAACCCTTGGTGCCAAGTGCACCGACAAGTCCTCGTGCAAGCAGCAGAGTCACAGTCTCGTCCTTCTATAGGGGCCGAAATAGTTACCTACACTATTTTCGGGGGTTCCTCATTATCATTATGCTATAATGGGCACCAAAACCCCATCTTAATTATTACCCTATACTAGTCGCCAAGCCTGAAGTTCAAGATGTCAAACTCCAAAGCCTAGCATCGATAGAAGGCTAACCCGCGCCCTGAAGCCTCGAATCCTGCAAACCCTAGACCCAGAAACCCTTGACATTACATGTTATGGGTACTTCAACCCAATAAGGAATAAAGATGTACATGTTTTAATCCTACCCCAACAATGAGAGCTTTGACTGTAGACCGGCTGGGAGTGCAGAGAGCCCGGCATATTTGAAGCTTGAACTTACCGTTGGTTAGTAGGGAATGGAAGAATGGTAGTAATAGTAGTTATAATTGTACCCCATTCCTCCATTCCCTACTAACCAAAGACAAGTGAAAGCTTCCTCACGACATCTTGAACGTATTGGTGCCACAACAGTGCTATCCTGCTAATCATAGCTCTGACTGCCGTGATGACTCTGATGATGATGACGATGAATTACAAGACTCACACATATGCTGGAAGCCATTTCGAGCATAGTCTTTGGGACAGAAAAGCCGTAGTGTTTCAAGTTTGAGGACCTCTATGGAATGGACCTAGTATACCCATCAGAGTATCAGATTAACCCTGAACCGACTGCGGGATTTTCCTTACTTGAGGTAGTACCCATACTGCACCATATATGTACTATTACCGTGCTACTAGACCTATAGTAGACTAGAATCTGAAATATGATTCAACCTGGTAAAATACAGTAGTACATGATATGTTTGAATATGACATACTATCATGTAGTACTGTATTACATACTACATACCATCATGTAATATTTACTACTGTATTACCCAGCCAGAATAAGGAATACACCATAATTCCCATAGTTTAGGGTCCTTAAGGTAACTGTATTTACTACCATCTAAAGCCCCGCGTGGAAGCTTTGTCACTTATGGCGGCCTTCGACTCTGCCCCGTCGGTGGCCGGGGCCGGAATGAGGCGCAGCTCTCTTTTGCGGGTTGGGGGGGGGTCCTTTAAAGGGATCTTTAAGGGATCCTCTGAGGGTTCCCATCAAGGAATCTAGAAGGATAGTTCAAGGGGTTCAGAGTTTCAGGGTTTAGGGTTTGGGGTTAGGGTTTAGAGTTTCAGGGTTCAGGGTTGAGGGTTTCAAGGTTTCAGGGTTTAGAGTTTCAGGATGTAGGGTGAGGCATGCTATCAGGATCCTGAAATTTCTGTTCTATGTTCGTGTCGTTCGTGCTTTGAGACTCTGGGGGATCAGCGGACCACGCGGATTCCAAGTAGGGCGGGATAATCCACAACACGGTTTTGCGGCTTTGGATCATGCATCCTTTTGGTTTCGGTTTTATGGCGTTTCAGGTTTAAGTCCTGTCGGGTTAGGTGGACCCTAAACCCTAAACCCTAAACCTTTCGGTTATATAGCATTTCAGGTTTAAGTCCTTTCGGGTTACGTCGACTTTCTTGGCCAGCAGTGGGTGTGGTTCAGTTTTTCATGTGGGAGTTTCCGAAAATCGGGGACCCTAATATAGTACCCTAAATAGTAGGACCCTTGTTATAAGGACCTCCTAAATAAAGTACCCTTGATTTTCGGTAACTCCCATGTCTGGAGGGATGTTCAAGCGTCAGGCTTTGGAGTTTTTCGTTTGGGGCTGTGAGGTTCAGGGTTCACTTACCTTTGGTTAGTAGGGAATGGAAGAATGGTAGTAATAGTAGTTATAGTTGTACCCCATTCCTCCATTCCCTACTAACCAAAGGTAAGTTTGAGGTTCCGGGTGTTGGGTCCTTTTGGGGCTTCGGGTTTGGTGCATCATATAGGTTTTTCAAGGGGATCCTTTCAAAGGGCCCAGTAAGGATTATTATAAGGGCTATTATAGGGGTTTAGTATAGGGGCCTAAATAATTGCCATTACTGTTTTGTGAGGGGTTCCTTATTATATTTGTAATATTATAGTATACTGAGCCCCAAAGCCCCATTCTCATTATCAAGGCCCCTATATGACGGGGGGTGTTACGCTTTCGGGTCACATGTCGGAGCTTGCCCGTTACAGGTGATCAAGTGATCAAGCCTATGTTCGAAGGTTTGCCGTTTGAAGCGTGGCTGGGTGAGTGTAGAAGCGAGCGCAGGGATCTGCTCCCTGAGTAGAAAACATCTAAGTTTATGTCTAGCGATTGAACAGGCAAGCCGCCTTCCATGACTACGCTGATGGCGGATTCGGCAGCAGTCCTTTTGCTGACGTGCCTTGCTCGAAGCACTGCGGCACGCGAGGAGTCGAGAGGTTTGGCGCCTTAGGGTCCAGGATCTCGGGTGTTCCTGATCCTGATGATGTTGCTTGCTCTCACCACCCTTGTGCTTCTTAGGCAGGGAGACTTTCATCATAGTGATGATCATCGGCGGCCTAAACCCTAAACCCGAAACCCCCTAAACCGATTAATGTCGAGATTCCTCCAACGTTTTCCAAGCCAGTGTGTGCGTACCTGAGCCTCTCAGAGATAATGTCCGACGTCGGAGTCTCAACGCCGGTGATAATTTATTCGAGTCTGCACGGCCCTTTCATGAGTTGCATTCAGGTTTTCGGGTTTTATAAAATAGGGAGGGGGCCTTGAAGACCTATACCATTTTCGGGGTTCCTTATTATGACGATAGTATCATATACCCCCAAAACCCTATTCTAGTTCGTAAGGCCCCTTTATTAGTAGATTGGGAGTTGGAGTTTCAGGGTGAGCCGTGATTATCAAAGCACGGCACGAAATCCCCAAACGTTCGGCCGCAAACCCGGCTGCCCCAGTTTCAGCCTTGTGAGGCGCATGGGATAGTTACCCACAACAAGGTTCCTAAAACATAGCTTCAGAAAGCCGCGCAAAACCTCATTTCTATAATCTATGCACCCTCGCAACCCGCGATTCAGGCGTTTAAAAAGCGTAAGAAGTATTTCCGATCGTGGAATAACGACGCAAACTCCGCAAGAGTTTCAGGGTTTCCGGTGAAGGGTTTCAGACTTTGGGATTTAGGGCTTACCGTGAAATCTGTCAGCAGCCCGAAACCCCTCAAAGTTTGAAATCCAGTCTACACCACCTGGACGCCGAAACTCCCAAAACCCAGAACAGTAAGATCTGACTTCTAAAAGGCCTAGTCGCTAAACCCAACCCTAAACTCCAACACACTCGAAACCCTAGACCCCCCAAAACGCCCAACCCCCTAATTTTCAAAGGGCGGCCGCGCGAAAGCCGCACTCTTGCTTAGGCTCCGTCCCGCAGCGGCATCTTCGCTCCGGAGCCGGCACCATCCCGAAGCTGGGTTTTGGAGCAGTTGCTATCCGTAAAGGGCCTCTGGGAACTTGTGGGAGGTTTGGGTTTCGGGTTTTCGGGTTCAGGTTTTAGGGTTTTTAGGGCTACCAACTTTGCAGGAAGTTATAGGGTTTCCCTATATTGGTAAGTCGAATGAGGAATCCAGGAACCCTAAACCCACAGCATTAAACCCTAGTTCTGACAAGTCGAATGCAGAACCCGAGAAGCCGAAACCCTTAACCAAAACCTAAAACCCCAAGCCCTGATTCTGGTAAGCCAAACGAAGAACCCAGAAACCCTAAATTCGAAACCCCTATTCTGAACTTATTCTCCTTCTGTCGGACGGAGAACTCCGAAACCACTAGGGTTTAGGATTTAGGGTTGAGGTAGGGTTTAGTTTAGGAACTTAGGGTTTAGGAGCTCAGGAAGTGGGATCTTCGCTCCCGAAGCCTCCAGCGCCCCAGCCCGCAGCAGCGCCTTCGACGGACGCAGCGTGTGCATGTAGGTAGGGGGTTTAGGGGTTAGGGTTCAGGATTTTAGGGTTTAGGATTTTAGGGTTTGGGATTTAGGGTTTGGGATTTAGGGTTTAGGGTTTAGGGTTTAAGGTTTGGGGTTCAGGGCTTCCGGACATCGAGTCTGGGTTCGGGGCCTGATGATCTGTAAACTGCGTTGTGGTTTGGACATGCCCTGGTCGGAAAGGTTCTGTAGCACACTCTCAACTTCTACCTAT